TTTTTTTTTAAGAATACAGTTTTAAATTGCTGCCGTTTTTAAACTTGTTCTGTTCACGTGAAGCGATTCAAATAGTAGGACCTGTTTTACAAAACGTGCCGTGGAGAGTTATTGGAAGGTGGCTGAACGTTCTACACACTTGGAATATTTATTTCTTACTGTATTTCTTCAGTTAACAGTTTGTTAATTAGCTAAAAACTACATAAAAGTATAACTCTTATTCAATTAAGAATAAGCCTGTGTTCTGTTTAAGAAATGCTGTCCAAGGTGAGTCTTCACCTGAAGAGTATGTGAACTGACAAAGTTGATGCTCCTGGTGCAATGAAAATAACTTAGTAATTTGTCTTAATTAAAATCCATTCTAATACTGGATGCGTTTTTCTGTTGACAAATACGTTAACTTTCAACTTCTGAGTGGCTCCCTGCATTATGCTCGAGTATGACCCTGCCACTTCGGGTGATTTTTATCGCGTGCCTTTTAGTGAGAAACCCTATATGATAAATATGATCCCTGGAAGAGTTTTGCTGATGAAGACCAGCCCCTGACTGGATCCAGAATAGTTTTTAGTACGGAGCATTCCTGTCTCTGTGGGCAGCAGTAGCTCTGTTCGGTGTGGAACACCAAATTGTTTTGGGTTTTGAACACATAACTTACTGAGACTGCTCTGTGCACCTGGGTGGAAAGGCAAAGGTTTCCCAGTCTCGGTTTATGAAGATAGCGACTGCTGCTACTTAAATGTGTCTGACAGCAGTGAATTCGTTGGGAGCCCAGGCTCTTCTGAGACAAATTGAGTCGGGTCTGATACCCTTCACGTATCTCTTTAAGTTTTCAGATGCTTCCCCGTTCTTTCCGGGCTTGTCTTCTCTGAATTCAGATACTTCCCCGTGCTCTGTTAAGTTTTACATCCAGTGGTTTACTCTGGTTTCCAAAGAAAACGTTTGGTCTGTTTCTCAGCCCGCTGTCGTAACTTGTGCGCCTGCTGGCTGGGTTTAGCTGACTTTGTCACGAGGACAGACCTTCCCTACGCTGCTTTAAGCCTGGTGGTAACGCGTGGCCGATGAGAGCTTCCGAGAGGGAAAGGTTGCCGTGGTTGAGCAGTTCTCTTTGCAGGGGCTTGCCGGTGACCTCCTGAGGTACGTGTTTTCTGGTGAATTAGCAAATGCGGTGTGGAGCCGGCTGGTTCAAGGGCGAGGAGAGCCGGTAAGGCTGGTGTGCGTGGCAGGGAGAAAGGGGTGGTATAGCGAGAACTGAAGGCGCTGCCACAGCGGGGTTCGGGGGAGCCCAGGTGAGCAGTAAAGGAGAAGCTTGGTGTGAAGTTACTGCACAGGGAGGAGAGGATGAAAGGCAGCCTGGGAAAGCAGGAATTTGGTGGTTCTCGGCTACCTCGCAACCTGCGCGCTGCCTCGTCTTCAAGAAGTTCTGAAGTTTTCGCTTGCAGTTGTCTGTTCTTTTGTGTGTCTCCTTCACAAGCTGCGCAAGAAGGACGTGTTTGAATGGTTTGTAAGTCTGAGTCTGTCCTGTAGTTCTGACACTTTGGTACTTCCCTGCGGAGTTAAGGGTAGACAGTTGCCAGATACAGATTATAGATCTTCTCTGTGTGTGTATAAAATCAGAAGATTTAGAATCACTGCTTCAGATTTTTATATATTTTCTTTCTAGTGGCTACAGAACCCTTGATAAAAGCCGTATATACACTATACCAGCAGCGGAATCTCCTCTTCCCGGTTCGTACGTTGCTTTTGAAATTTTTCAGCCGAGTTTACCAAAAAGAAGATTTGAGGACTCAAAGAATCAGGTAAAAATCCATTTGCAGATTCTTCTTAGTTTCGACATAGCGCGTTTCTTTCAGCAGTTAGAATACTGAATTTCCGTGTGGATGTTACAAAACTTCATGCTGAATCTGGGCACTGAAATTTGAAAGTTTAGATTCTCTGTGAGATTGAGGTGTGTATTAGCTTAGCTGTCTCTCTTTTTCCTCAACGTAACTACTAAATAGCTCTCAATGATTTAGGATTTCAGTTGCAGCGCACTGCTGCAGGCTCACTGTTGCTGGCTGCGTGATAGTCAGGAGGTGTGTCAGGATTGTGCAGCTGTAGCCGTGCAGCACTTCCATTACTTCACCCCGAGGTTGTGGGGTTGTGACTTAGTGCCTTTGGTGGTTCTGGTAGTGCCTGCCTAGCGTTTCGTCCTCGCTTTCTTTAAGGAAGGTATTATTCTGGTTTGGGTGCGTGGTTTTAACGAGACCAGGTTTAAGAAAATGTTCTTGTCCTTTTGGGTTCCCGGTTTCATGCATCTATTAGGCGTCTGACTTCACGTACGAGGAGATTATTCTCTATGTTGCTGTTATTACATTTCTTCATCATAAGATTTGTCCAAATCGTCTCCGAGTTTTTTACTTTTCCAGAGGGTATTTTTCAACGAAGTCATCTGGTTCCAGCTACGCAAAATCCTTAGACATGGATCAGGCTGCATCAGTCCTGCCTTGCTGGGGAACTGCCAAGGGACATAAGGTCATACCCGTGATAGCTGTTGCTCTCCTAGGTAAACCCCAAACCTCAGGCTCCCCAGAAGTACTGGCATCCACTAGCAGAGCCAAGCTTTGGGAAAATTGTTCTTTTCTGCAGCTTCTTTGCTTTGTTCAGTCCTACGTTGTGGTAATGGCTGAGTAGCTGTAATTGGATCTGCAGCCAGAAATATCTAACAGTACCCTATGAACATTACAAATATGGGGAATTTGAAAGACAGACAGGAAGAAGGCTCGGGAATATCCCATTTTCCTCCTCCTCACACAGAGTGAGAGAGAGATCTTTTTCAGTTTGACTAATGTCCCTGAGGTTACGTAGCCACTGTTTTAGCTACTTACCTGGAAGTCTTGAGCACCTCATCCAGTTTCATGTGATCGTCTAACTATCTAGAAAGCTTTAACTTGCTGTCGTTAGACCTCACAAATAGCAGCAGCTTTCCTGCTGTGCCTCTTAGGCTTCGAGACGGAATTGTGACTTTTTTTAGTAACAGAAGAGTGAAATCTCCAAAATTCTTTGCAAAAAGGATAATTGCACGTATGTCTGACAGGACGTTTTAAGGCGCCATAATGTTTGTGTGCTGTCCTGACCCATTTCTGTCCTTTAGAAACAAGTGGGCTTTTATTTCTCAAAGATGTGGACTCGCACGGTGGATCCTGAGTGACGTTCATGTTACTCCGTTCAGTTTGACGCCGTAGCTCCTTCAGCCCTCCTGTGACTGCTCTCTTCATTTTTCTTTTAAATTTATTTTTTTCCCTCAGAAGCTTGTCAAGAGCGGACTAAAAGGAGCAGAATTCATGTCGGAACACTTTTTTCCAAGAGCGTTTTAAGTGAAACTGTTGATTCTTCAGGTATATCTGATTCAAAGGCTAAATAGGAGATTTTGGCCTGTTGTTGCCCTGTGGAAGAAAACTTGATTGATTTATTACAAGGTTCAGAATGAATATTTTGGTGGTGATGTTGGCTACCTTCACCCCAGTCGCTACACACATGTGCATGTCGTCGTGTGTGTACGTGTGCACATATGCACATACACACTGGTAGAGACTTAAAAGGCCGTTTCGCCTCGCAGCCTGCCTTCAGCCTATGTTGACCTGTGTGAGATGCTACAGGGAGAAGGCAAAAATTAATTTGCCATAGTACTCTAAGCTTCCAGCCATTTGAAGCCTGTACTTCGCAGAGCTTCTGTGTGTTTAGTGTTATTCAGTGGGTGTCTTTTTTTTTTTTTTTCCGTGAGTTTTTCTGGTTGTTCCTTGGACAGGTCTAAATCGAGAGCAACTGCAGCGTCCTCTGGCAGGGAGTGACAAAGCTCAGCTGTTGGAACACCAGCTTTCTTCTGTTTGTTTTGATTCTGCCACCTCCTAGCTTCCTTTTGATACCAGCACCCACTTCTTCTGGGGGAAGAGAAAGCAAATGTTTTATTCCCATCCACCATTTGCATCTCGAGTGATCCAAGACCTCTATTGAGCCTTCTTCCAACTCGGCCACTTCCCCTCTCCAGGCTTTTCCTGCTGTTAAACACAATTAATCTGTCTGTGCAAGGCCCTTCCCTCTTATGTCAAGGATACTTAGTTTCCTTAGAAAGTTTTTGGTGAGGGATTTTGTCAGGTCTTTCGAAAATGAAATAATCTTTATTGTTGTGCTGCTCTTGTTGACACCTTCAAAGAGCTTTGAAGTTCTTGATTTACACTTGGCAGCTTCTTTCATGCGGTCATCACTTCAGTAGTAAGTTGACAAAATGCTTTTGGTTTAGAAATCGTTCTTGATTTGATAAGCCAGGGTGTCTATGCAGAATTTGTAGGCCAAGAACAATAGGATTTGGTCTGTAAGATTGTTTCAGTCTGAGCTAGGATCAGGAACGAGCGAGCACGTACGTAAGAGCAAGTCGTGCTTCACCACCATGATAACCGCCTGTGAGGAATGGCTGCACGGACGAGGGGAGAGCGTCTGACCCAGTACGCTTTGTTAATGAGGTGGTTTGGTGTTGTGCTCCACCGGTTCTAGTTTTTAGTTCCGCTTTAAGAGGCATCTGAACTGACGAGCAAGACGTCAGCGAAGGTAGAATTGGATTTGAAAGTCTGGTGTAAAGAGTAGTAGCTTGATTGGGGGGTTCAGTGGTATTGAGGGTGTGGGAGTCTCATGGATCTGACTCATAACTCATTAAATACAAACTGGTAAAACTAATGATAAAATGGAAACGTTGCTTTGCCAGCGTACGGTCAGTTCACACAAATACTTTCTGAAAGAGTTGAAAATGTGCATCATCAAATAAATACTTGTGATGCGACTGTCGTAGCACACGGATGTGCTCAGATTCTCAGCAGATCACAGTACTGCAGTTTATTGTAGTTTAATCGTACCTGACATTAAAGCAACTTAGTCAAGACTGGAGAGTAAGTTTGTGGGGGTTTTGCTGTTTGGTTTTGGCTTTTTTTTCTCAGCTAATTTTCCCTCTTTCTTTAGAAGTCGAAGTAAAGTTTTATCTCGTTGGTTGGCTGGCTTACCTCAGCAACTTGCCCTCCTTGGCTTGAGGAACCCTGAGCTTTCGAATCAGCTGATTGACATCATTCATTCCGCTGCTTCGCGTTCGAACAAGGAGTTACTACAAAGTTTACAAGCCACTGCTGCTCGAATATACGGTAAGACTTTCACACCACAGCGTAATGAATTCTGCCCCTCACTCGGCGGGGAAGTTGCAACGCCTGGAAAATTCTGCTGTTTCCTGGGTGAACGTAAAGTCCACGTGTGTGGGACAGGGGTGGAGAATGGTTCAGCCCCTTATAATAAAGGTTAAAGTGAACTCTGTGTGTCTTCCTGAAGGCTAGTGGAAAGCTGAAATCTTTAGTTCGAGCTAGCAGGGCCTGCAGCTCATGCTCACAGAGCGCAAGGGGATTTGCGTGTTCGGAGGGGGAAGGTCAGCGTGTTGATTGCCTGTCTGTGCCGCAGATCCGCTGGACGGCACGCTGGTCCTGCTGCCGGCGGAGGCCCAGCGGCGGCTGGTGCAGCTGGTGTACTTCCTACCCTGCCTGCCCACCAGCCTGCTCGCCGGCCTCAGCCGCTGCTGCATCATGGGCAGGATGTCCTCCGAGCCGGGGGGC